ACATTCTCTTTTCATGCTTTGAAGGTTATTAAAACAAACGATCAATTTCACATACAAAATGATGTGTGCTGGACGGTGCGTTGTCTCTGCAGTCGAAGTCATATCCACTGTGCGATCTCAGATGAATTTCATTATCGTTATTGCTTTCACTAATGGGACATATTTCTGGAATCAGAGTCCCATCGTGAAATTTCCATTGGTTGTTTTCCTCGACTCCCTGTCCTGTACCCATATTTGAATTTCATTTTTAGCTGCAAATGGCCCTAAAATTATGCAAAATATACGCACTTAAACAAATACAAATTTAGGACATTTCATTTTATCATTTAGTCATGTATTGACTGACGTTTTTTATTCTTATTCTTATGACATATGTTATAAACACACGGAATAAGCAAGTTTCGAGATTATCTCCCTTGGTTCGGTCTTTCGTTGAAGAAGGGAGTTCCTTTGTCGATTTGACAGACAGATGGGACAGATAATTTACATAATGGACACATTGCGTCATCGATATACTGATTCATCATAAGTACATGGTTGCCAGAGTGAACTCTTAAATTCGAAAATAAGCAAAATAATGTAAACATGTCATTTTTTTGAAAAGAAAAAAAAATCTTAACCAAAAATATATCATTAATATATACAATAAACTACGCATTTAATTTAGCATATTGCACTTAAATTCATGAGTAGGCTTATACCTGTTTACCTAGTGATTACGCTACATTTTGAATATTCTAATTTTACAAGTATCTCTCCACTTCCTTCTTTAAAATATAATAAGTGAAAAGATCAAAAAATAGACTATACATTTTCTTCAACTGAAATTAATATAAATATTGGTAAAAGAAAATAAGAAAACAATATTCAGACAAAACAATTGCTTGAATTGCTCGGAATATTTTCCTTGGAAAGTTACATTTATCTCTCTTATCAGAAAGATATTACATCTTAAGCCTGAAAATCGTAAATAAATGTTAAAGATATTAAAAAAGATAATTCTACAACATTTCTAGGGTCTCGCATTATTTGAATGGACGAATGTAGGGTTTTATCTACTCGTATTCACCTCATTCCTCAATTAATCTATTCCCTTTGAAACAAACTCGGTTTGTTATGTGTAAACTTCCTGTTTTCGTTGAAAAATTAAAGAAACAATTCTAATATTATTATGAAAATAATAAAAAGAAATATCAAAATTAAGAACCCTCAGAGAGATGTATTTACAATTAAATAATAAAAAAGAAACTAAAAAAGATTTTGAATTCATTCTTATATATACGATTTCAGTGAATTTTCATACATTTATATATTAAAAAAACACCAAAACATTAGCATTTAAAAAAAAAAAAACAATCATTTTTTGTATATATCCATCACATGACATTTTTTACGGCACTACGCTTAATACAATTTAAACATGATTCTTAGTACAAATATTTCTTCTTATTTCTTTTATTCGTTTACATCTTTTTGCAAATGATTTTTTAAATGCTCTCCTGGTATAAGTGAGGATTTTTTTTTTAAATTAAAGACTTAACAATATATCAAGAAATTATGAAGGCCATACTTCAAAAAAGTTTTTTAGGAATTTCATATGTATAATTAATTCTACTGAGTGATAGATTTAACTCATATTTTCTTTGAAATTAATAATGATTTGATAGTTTTTTATTTACAGAACATGATTCATTTGAGAAATATCATCTTTGGCAAAAATGTCTTCCATTGTGGATCATTTATTGGAGTTTCTGGCACATCCTTACAACACAAACAGTTATGATTTAACGAGTTTAGGCTAAACTTGTAAAAACCGTCCATTTTCTGAAGGCAAGTTCCAAAACACTTACAAAGAGATGGAATATTATAATACTGAACACAAGACGTAGTTGGATACATATTTGTCATCCTAACACCATAGCTACTCTTGAAACCGTCCTGCATTGTTTCTTTGCAATTCATACTTAGAATAATCCATTGAATCAAACATGACAATGGATACATCTTAAGAAATGCACTTCTGTTTCGTATATGTCTGATTAGAAATTTAGCTTGAATTCATTTATTAGTGATTCTAGGGTTTAAATAAAATAATCTAAAAGAAAGAATTACATGACAATGCGAGGGATATGAAGAGGTATGAAGAGATTAAAACTTTTATGTTTGTGATGCTTTTAAGAAACTATTTCGGTATTTAAACAAATGTATTTTAAACAGTGCATTAACACAAACACTTTGCAACATCAAACACAGTTGTACAAAATATGATCATGACAATGGATATGAATATGAAAAAAATTCAATCGTGGTTGAAATTGAAAAAAAATCTTTAAAATGAAATAGATAATTTCAAGGGTAAAAGGATTCAAGGGTAAAAAATCTTAAGAGAAGTAATGTAAATATGCAGAGCTGAGAAACAAATAATTGATGTTCTCTATATGGGGATATTACGGAAGCCCATTTAGGACCTATCAAAAATATTTTTGAATTCGTTATAACGATTTTTAGAATTTGTTATAACGAATTAAATTTGTTATAACAGATTTTTAGAATTGGTTATAACGAATTAAATTTGTTATAACAGATTTATTGAATTCGTTATAACCAATTTAATTTGTTATAACAGATTTATTAAATTCGTAATAACGAATTTAATTTGTTATAACAGATTCATTGAATTCGTTATAACGAACACTGGATGAAAAATACAGTTTCCGCATGGCTGAAACTCTACTGAAACTCTGCGGAAACTTAAGGTTACTAATAGTTTCTGCAAAGTTTCAGTGCGGAAACTTCAAGTTTCATCAAGTTTCCGCAGTGCGGAAACCAAAGGTGTCCACGAATCCAAATAGTTTCCGCAACTGAAACTTGCTGAAACTTGAGGTATACGCAAGGTTTCAGTATGCGTATACGGTTGAAATACATATGGTTTACCAATGGTTTCCGCAACAGAAACTTGCTGAAACTTGAGGTATACGCAAGGTTTCAGTATGCGTATACAGTTGAAATACATATGGTTTACCAATGGTTTCCGCAACAGAAACTTGCTGAAACTTGAGGTATACGCAAGGTTTCAGTATGCGTTTACAATATTGATATACATAGGGTATACTATAGGTTTCCGCAACGGAAACTGTAGTATTGACTACACAATTTTAGCCCTGGTTTTCAACCAAAAGTCATTTTCCCCCTGAATTCTCATATTGGAAAAAACAACAACACACTAACACTAGTTATCAAAGAATATTTAATGTTATTATCAACATTTACATACATCGGTTGAACATTTTTCTCTTGCATCATAAACATTTTTACAGCTAAGTCCGAACCCTCAAGTCACGACAGGAGGACAGAGAAAATGTCTGCATTTAATGATGTCTCATACATCAGAGATATAATCTTGCGAGAGGAACTTAGAACCGCATTACTGCAATCAATCAACTAAACCTGAATTCGGTTTATGCAAGTCTAGTATTATTAAGGAAATGTAAAATTACTTGGTATAATAAATGCACAAGTTCACATCATAAGTAGCCAATAAGCACCAAGGTGGATTCCTTTGTTAAAAATTCAGTTTGTAGTCCATCATCAACCAACAGAAAAGTCCTTGAGTGGTTCTCATTCTTTGATGACACACTTACACTTATCATGCTTATGCTAGTGGTGGCTGCATGTTTTCGGAACTGTGCAACACATCACTGTAGTCTGCATGTATGACCTGTTCCAGTTTCAGTTGACTTTAAAAATATCAATGCTTGAGTATAGAGAGACTTGTTTTCATCATTGGAGAAATGATATCATGTTCAAGTTGGATTGATCTGCTCATCAGTTACTTCAACCTATTGAAAATATATATAAATATAGTTTAACAAAATCCCAATCTAAATAAAACAACATGTTAGATCCTCTCGCATACTCGCTTCACAACATCTAACAACATCCCATAGAAGGTCACGTCAGATGTCAAATACGGAACAACTCTAGACTTATTCGTTCCAATTTATGAAATACAATAATTTTGCAGTTGACTATTTGATTGGTTAATAGAATTTGACCTCTGACGTGACACTCTACAGGATGTATTAGATTTAGGCAGTATCTAACATTTAATATTAATTGGATGGACAAAGTCCCTAATGCTGTTCTAGTACAAGCTTTTGTTTGATTAATTTCACATTTTAAGCATTTTTTTTTTATCAGAATGATTTAAAATGAAATTTAAAAATTTATCAAGTGTAAAATATCATTAGTTTATTAAAGATGCCTCTTTTAAACACTTGACTAGGGATAATGAAATAAACAAACTTGAATTTATTTAAACATGTTAAATGTACCTGAATATGTATGTATAGATTTGTTCCTGATTTTCAGAATAAATTAAGGAATTTTCTTTCATTCTACTTGTTCATCAAAATATTTTTTTATTTGAATAACAACTAGAGGCCCATAGACCTAATAGGTATCATGTAACAACTTTCACTCAATTGAATTTGGTTCGTGTTTTAAACAAAAAGCCATGAAATTCCAAATTTTGAAAGACGCACCATTGTTTATCATAATTATACACTTAACATGCTTACTCTGGTTACTCAGTAACCAAAGGTGGATCAGAGTAATAAAGATAAAATGCTATTCCATTTTAAAACCACCAGTTGTGTACCCCACCCCACAGGAACCACTAACCCTGGGGCCACACATTTCAAAATTTTCTAAATGTTATCTTAAGTTTTATTTCATCATAAATGGTTGATTAATTCCAAAGAGCTATATGGACCAACCCTAGTACTAAAACCCCTGACCTTGGGGCCATGAATTTCATAATTATGGTAGATGACTCAGTGCTCATTTCAATCATGCCAACAGTTTGACTGCTTGATGTCCAGGAGTAAAAAAGAAGGGGGGGGGGGGGTATCATAAAATTTACAAATTTTGTTCCCCTTCACCCATAGATGCTTTGTACCAAAATTGGTTGAAATTGGTTGAGCGGTTGCAAGGAAGAAGCTGAAAATGTTCAAATGTCAACACACGACAGACAAAAACAGATAGTAATAGGTCACCTGAGTTTACTAAGGTGACCTAAAAATAGGCCTGCTTATAAATACTTATTTTAAATAAATCAGAGAATTTTAGTAGTTAGCTCGCAAAATGAGACTTTCTAAGAAAATGTTAACATCTGTTAATTGATGGAAATGCCGAACATATAAAGATATTATATAAAGCTTAAAAAGTAGAGGAAAGCAGCTTACACCCCCCCTCCCCTACAACACACACTGACAACCACTGACTATGATAAATAGAGAGCTTTAAATTATACAGTGAGATTAAGAAAACAATAGAAAATAAAAACATAAACTTTGTGCTTTAGTCCTTAATTTCCTAAAATAGAGTTACATAAGTTCTTACTACTAAAACATACTTTTTAACAGAAGTATTCTTCATCCTCTCTTAGTTTTCAGATGATTTGTTCCATGGATATCTGAAATTAAAATAGATCGAGTTAGTACAGTACCGTACAGTAATAACTTTTGTTTTTAGCATGAGCTCAGAAAAGTCCCAAAAACTACTTGCATGCCCATTTCCTTGCACCTGACATGCAGTGAAAATTCTAATGGACACATGACAATGAAAAAAAATGATTGGAAATTGTATCATTTTAAAATGGACACAGTCACACTCTGGTCTAATTCTAAGTGGCAGTCCTATCAGGCTATCACAACCTCAATTTACAAGATTTTGAAAAGCAATTATATCTGAGAGTGAGAAAAATTAAATAAGTTATAATTTTCCATAAAAGCAAGACTACATCTAAATTATGTTTGTTTAAGATATGCAGGCCTTCTCCGATTCAAAATTATAATTCATTTGATAATTAATTTTATTTAATATTCTATTTTACATCAAGGGAAGATCATTTGTATAATAACACAGAACTAGGACTCTTCAGTGGCCATTGTTGAAAACTGATTTAATTAGTGATAGAAATATGGCAAATGGTAAACAGCTATAAACCTTACAGAGAGATCACAAAAATCTTATTTGTGTATCAGTCATTTTATCAAGTCAATAAAATTTAGAGATCATAAAAGTATTATGTCAAATTTTCATAATGGGTCACATTGCCAGTGGTTAGAGCGACACGCCTAGAGTTGGGGAGTAAGAGCTGATTCCTACATCAAGGGTCTGAATCCAATGTAGTATATAGAGACTGGTCCCTCGGATGAGACCTGTGTTGGTGACGTGTCCACATTAATAAAAAGTTCTCTAAAGGGTAACAAATAAATACAAGTATATGACTGTATAATGAATCAATACATGTAACTTAAGAAATTGAAAATGGCCAATTACCCATTTCATCAAGCTCCAGTCTATCATAATACATACTTCAGGTAAATACTGTTCTGTTCATATCAAGAGAATCATTTTTATGGTTGTGATTTCTGATGTATTTAGAAACTGCACCACATTTAATACACAAGGTACAATAAAAACATGGTATTTCTAATGAACAATTACACCATGCACACTACCGGTAAATCAAGTTTTAGGTTGCTAAAATAGTGTTAATTGTTTCATATACAGTGATGTGCCATAAGTGTTCGTCCAAATTCAATTTTCATTACGTCACTTTACATTTTCACATAACTTCGTCGACGCTGTATCTTTTAACCATGGCGTCAATGTTGAATAAATAAGTATATATTTATAGCATATCCACGTAACTGTCACGTGTCACAATTACGTAGCAAAATTATTTTCGTCTGCTGTGTATTTCCCCTGTAAACAAAATGGCTACCGTGCGTAAAGAATTGAGTACTGATGTTAAAGAAGTCATCGTTTCTCTTTACCTGTCTGGATTAAAACATTCAGAAATAGCAAGGAGATTACAAATTCCCCGGTCTACAATAACTTCTGTAGTTGACCGGTATCGCAAGCGAGGAAGTGTAGAAAACATACCGAGGAAAGGGAAGCAGGCAAAGCTAAGTGACAGAGACAGTCGCAGCATTTTAAGGTTGGTGAAAGAAAACAGAAAGAGAAAATTATCAGACATAACAGCCTTATTCAATGAAAATAGAGACTCTGCTATATCTAAACGGACAGTTCAGCAAATTTGTACAAACAGGGGTATTTTAGAAGAGTTGTTCGAAAGCGCATAAGAATTCGCGAAGTGAACAGAAAAGCACGGCTCTCCTGGTGTAGAGGAAACAGATACAAAACTATAGATAATTATTGGAACAGGGTCATCTTTAGTGATGAGTGCAAAGTGGACGTTGGGACTGATAACTGTGTTTTTATATGGAGAAAGGTGGGCGAAGAGTGGATGCCATGTTGTCTCTCGCAACCTCCAACACCGAAGTTTAGTTTAATGATATGGGGCTGCATCACTTTCAACGGTGTAGGGACTGTGACTGTTGTAGATGGTAACATTAATGCTAGAAAATACATTGATATAATTGAAGATCAACTTTGGCCAGTCATAGCACGCCATTTTCCTCGAAATAACTATATATTTCAAGATGACAACGCCCCTATTCACAGAGCCCGAGTAGTTCAAGAATATAAATTACAGAATAATATTCATTCAATGGTTTGGCCCGCTCAGAGTCGTTTGAACATTATTGAAAATATCTGGTTGAGACTGAAAAGAGAACTGAAAAACGGCAACGAAATATTCTTGTGTAAAAATCAGCTGGAGGCAGCCATTCGACGTATCTGGATAAACATCCCAATTTATTATGTTCAGGGCTTATACAGGTCATCAACAAGACGAATACAGAAAGTTCTGAGGTCAAAAGGCTATATAACAAAGTATTAAGGTAAGAAAAAATATTTTATAATTTTATTTCTGTGTTTTATTTTTCCGAAGCGTCTCGTTACTACGGCGGCCATTTTGAATTTGGACGAACACTTAGGGCACATCACTGTAGATCAAAACATGCACATGTGTCAGCATGATGTTTATGTATCTTTGTGTATAACTATTTTGTTCACGTACGACAATGTTTCAAACTCATAATGTATGGTATGAAACTTAATAAAATACTTCAACTTGAATAATGTCAGGCATTCTGAAAATTATCAAGTCGCTTTCATATCACAAAATCTGCAAGTTCTCAGGAATTTTACTTTCATGACTATACAACATGTACAAATTGGCATTTCACAGTGATACAATACTACACAATGGCATTCTCCCAACATGATGCCCTCTAACATGTCTAATATTTACGATTCTAGACTGCATGTATGTTAAAAATATATTCAACCCCTTCCTCGGCTGTGCAGCACAGTCTTCCATCAATAATAAAAACAATTCAGCAAAAAATAAATGTAGGATTCAAGAAACTACTCCTGCGAATAACAATGAACACATCCAGCAGTTATAATGAACAACAAACCTCACCTTTTCTGAAAGAACATAAGCGTGGGGGCAAATCTTTCGATTTTCCGAAAAAGTAAACACCGGATACAAGTTCATAACGATATTTTATCCTCTAAAACCAACCTACATTTAAAATTCCGGAATACTACAACACGTATTTTTTTTTTAACATGATCGGGACGATGCAGAAAAACACATTCTAATAATCATACGAAAACATGCAAGATAAATACAATGGTACAAAATGCATGCGGCCGTTTTAACAGCAATTAATTATACTTATTACAACCTAAGCTAAGAATGATTTACAAGGCGCTTTTTCAAAATAATTATAACTGTACAATGGTCGTTTTGAATTTTTGGAACGCGCCGTTTTGATCCAACTTTATTCTTACGATTGCAGACAATAAAAACAAAAATAAAGGTGCTCTGAACTGTAAGAAATAACTACCTGTATCTAATCTGTCGTTTGAGGTGCCTTTCTTCTGTGTAGAGTCAAAAGACCTTCTCATCTCTGTTGTTTTTCTTGAGCAAGTTCTTGGTGTTTTCTTCGCCATTTTGTCCCTCTTTCTTCTACTAAAAATCTAACCAATGAGAGAGAAGCATTCTATCGCGATACGCCACCTAGTGATTGAATGTCAGTCTCTACGGAAAATTCCCCTTAGTTTTTGCATTTCTCTTTTGGCAATATTTTTTTTTTACGTTTTATATTGCAGACGTCCTTGCATTTATGACAACTGAATGAACCTGTCAGTTTTAAATGCTTAGATAAAATTGATCATGGAATCGAAGTTGGGTATAAAACCGTATTTTAAGTCCCTTATCATCACGGTTATCATGATTATGGTAATTGTTGAAACGGACTGTCCAGATTTTTACAAACAGATTGAAAATCATATACACATGTACTTAGACTATTGTGTAAAAAAAGTATACAAGTCAACAAAGTTATGCTGATGGCATATTATCCACATGTATACAAGAGCGATTTTAACCACCCCCTTCTAGTAAGCGATACGAATTAGCTGGTTAAAACTTTATAACAAGTCTGCAAATTTATGTTTATATGTTTTTTTAAAATCTTAATCTACGGGATACATTTTTATTTGTGTCCTAAAATAGAATAGATAAATTAACAAAGTACATGTAAGTTTATAATCATTGTTATACAGTGAATTATATAATGATTAATTTTGACCTTCGTAACTTAAATAAAACGAAGAAAAAAATTACAAACTATATTAGAATGTGTTGTATGAGTCTCTGTCTCTGTCTCTCTCTGGTATTGCTTTTTATACCTTTGTGAAACTCAAAAGCAAAATTGGAGTTATAAGAATTATTAATCGATTGTTAAAAATTTCCATCTCAGAAAATATCTACATGTACAATTTTAAAATAGTAAATACCGCTACTTCTCAGCATTAGACGATGAACAAAAAATTATTGGTTATTACTCAATACAGAAGATACGGAAACTCTTAATTTTGCGGACAAATTTATAAATGATATCATGTAATAGTGGTCATAGTCCTTTACACATGTCATGTATATTGTTGTTTACTAAATGTATTTATCTTTTTTTTTTTTATCTTTTCCTTATTATTGTAATAACCTCACACTTTTCTGTTTTGGACTCTAAATTAGAAATAAAACGTTGTTTTATTGTGTACTTAAAAATAACCTAGAGAAAAAAAGTTATGAAATAAAATTCATAGACTTTGTTTTCATTAGGTTGCGTGTCATCGATCTCTAAATATTTTCAATATTTGAAGTTAATACAATGGTGGCAAACAAGGAATACCATTAATTGTCGTTTTTTTTGTGATTGCCGATTTCTTTGTGGAGAAATTGTAAAATAATATTGAAATTTTTTAAATAGTCTATTGAACTAGCAAATATTCTCCTTACCTGTAGATTAGTTCTATTATTTATTAGATTGATCTATAGATAAATATCTGAGAGGTTTTTCCTTTTTTTCTTTTAATCACCAACACATAATAAACTTAATAGCTTATATGAAACATTTTATATAAAATATTTTATAAAACAATCTTATTTGTTTGATTTAGGTGAAGTTATATATATATATATAGTTTGTGTGGGATTTTTTTTAATTTTTTAAAAGTTGAATGTTCAGACACCTTGGGGTCATTACTAGTGACTATACTGTGTATATCATGTACTGCATGTATATATTACGCCTGGTCACAGCCCATTGTTCCTCTAAGGTAGAAAAACCTCTCAATCCACATAGAATATACAAAAAATACACCAACACGGTAGCAGGTGTCTTCGCGACACGTGTCTCCCCACCTTTGGCACGTGAGGACAGGTGCCCGCGAGTGGGGTTCAAAGAAAAGGATTGAAAATTTGATCAACTTACATACTACTTTTATTAAAAAAAAAGTGTTTTCTAAATCACAAATTTAGCACATTATACATCTCAATACGAATATAATTGAACATATTACTAAAAAGTATAGGTACCGCGTTTTCAGTAATATTGCATTAATTAACATCACGAAAGCAAGATATTTGAAAAAAATAAATAAATAAAAAAGCCTACACATAATTTGCAATCTAATTAAAATGAGATCTTCCATTCGCTCCCAGGGTATTGTTTCACAAAAACAGACTTTTTACATTAATAAGTCTTCCTCGTGCGAATAAGCATTTGGGTAACAAATGAGACGATTTAATTTTAATTAGATTGACATAATATGCTGCAGATCTTAAGAACCATGGCATCAAATGTTCAGGACATGTTTTCTTGCAATATTTACCCGCAGCTTTCGAATAAGATTAACGCCTGTTAAACGAATAAAATGTATTCATGAGAACGGAGATAAAAATACATATATGTACGAGATATTAAATCAATGTATTAAATTATAAAAACAACTACAATGTAGTAACTATTGCACTATATATCTATGTTGAACACTGAATAGTAAAAAAGGCTTCCTAGTCAGTATGTGTTGTTAACAAATTGAATTATTGAAATGATAATTTTCCATTCAGGAATATAGATACATGTATAAGGAATATAAATGCAAAACTTGCTATCTCAGATAATGTAAACGTTCGCTCTCGTAATTATCTGTATTTCATGCACCATGAAGACACACTAATTTTCTTTTTTAAACAAATTAACATTAAATGTAATTGTAGACAGAGCAACTTCCATATATAACCCTTGATTTGTTCTCATGGTCTCAGGGAGTCGCGCATGCGTGAAGACAACAAGACACGAAAATTTTGGTCTGTACATTTTTGAAAAGTTTCACAGTTTTTTATCGTTATATTCATAATGCTGTTTAATGTTGTGTGATGGGGCCAAATGGGACCAGATAAGGAAAAGAAAAAATCCAAAAAGAGGAAAAACAAAACGTTGAACACTAGTGGGGAGAGCGAGCAGAAAATACGAGTGAACGCAGATCAGGCAGCCATTGTTATACCACGTATACATTCCGCAAACACACTGGGTATGGATCCGGCGTTTAACAATGGAATGATCAGTGGAATCAACGGGGCGTCTCAAAACTCGTCCCCTACCATACAGTTTCAAGGTAACCAATTACAACCTTATATGCCACAAAGTCCACAAGGACAATTTGCAGGCTATATGTCGCCAATACAGAGTCAATCGAACACTGTCCCTCAAAGCATTGATATGCGCGATACTCTTTCAGTGATATGTAACAAGCTAGAATAT